TGCACTGCAGGCGGTTTGCGGTTTGTGCCACGAGCTGGTCCGCGGCGACGGCTTTCGATCCAGATCCGTGGGTTTTATTCCACGACTTTCACTTATGGTCGTCGCTAACCGGTCAGGCATATCTGACCGGCCTTCCCCCTATTGACCGGCCTTCCCCCTATAGCTCAAAATATAATGATAGTTCTTGACTCAAAGTTACAACTTGTCACTTGTAGTGTGCCATTGTGTGTAACGAAAGGAAATTAAATTACATTTTACCTATTTCTGATCCATTTATGAAATATTAGACTTTAACTTAAACAAGAATATTGAAATTATAAACTGATATTGCCATCATCCGTTAAACAAGTTCAATATTTTATGGTTTCTATTAATATGAGGTTATCACTTCTGTCAAGCGTTCCGTGACGCACACCTTCTTTTTCTAATAGCACACTTTATATTTAATTATATTTTTTAATTATTATGTAAACCTTGATTATTGTTAAGGGTAGACTATCAAAAACTAGCCTTAAATGGCAACTATGTAAAACCCTCGCTGTGCGCTACCCCGGGGTTCTATTTTTAACCCATGTATGTGTGTGACCAGACTCATATTCGGCTTTGTTTAAATAAGAATTAAGATTCGGGTCTTGCTGAAAAATTAGTTTAATTTAGAGCTAGTTGTTCAAACATAAAAATAAATTATACAGTCCACAAATATCAAAAGTCAATTTAAGAATTACGGGATAACATTGATATTGGCCCCATGCAATCCCACGATTATTCTTTTATGTATAATAACTTCATTATTACAAACAAATTAAAATTGTTTGACCGTTGTACATTTTTCTAGTTATTCGATTTTAACGCTAAATATTTGCATTCGCATGGTAATTTACTTTTTCCTTCATTAACCTGTGGAAAGCAAAATATTTGTTGTTATTACAGAGCGATCATAATAATTGTCCAAATTAGCATATTTTTAAAAATCTCATGTTTTTTGAGCGCTGATCCCGTATATTGTCAGATTCTTTAATTCAAAGCTATTATTTCCTTTTTGCTAAATAGTTCCTATACCATGTTACAGTTTTCAGAAACCTTCACTTTTCTAATTGAAGCCATTATACGGAATGTCCCTGAAATAACTGTACAACGCTTAACCACAAAGTCCTTACCCGAAAATAAGACGATCTAAGCAAACTTACTTATATCCAATGATGCTTCATTTTACCGCTACAGGACGCCAAAGTTCTCAAATTACTACCGCTTTTTTTGATATTTTTTTTATTTTTAAATCGACTGAGGCAGGTCGTCTAACAGAGTCTCTGACTTGCTTTGAAGCGATCGACACGTGCAATTGAATAGTTACACTTCTCGAACGCGAAAAAGTGCTTTGCCCGTATCACGTGTCTTTTACGATTTGTGACTGAATTTATTTCTAATATTTTCTGTTCCCAGGAGGAAACAGGCGGAGTTCTGGAAATCCAGGGCGGACAGAGCCGAAAAGCTTTTGGCCTCCAAAACAGCCACCGAGCAGCAGGGGAAAATCTAGGATATTTCCTGGATGTCCTCCAGCGACAGCGACGGTATCGTTGGGGGACCAGCTAAGGCGGGAACTCCCTCAACACCCCTAAAGGAGAGCAGAAGAACCTGCTACCCAACTCCTCTGACGGCGAGGCCTTTCAAAGCCCAAATCGCCGACGGAAGAGAAGGAGAGTCAGGCGTCTGTACTCCAGTGAGGGAATCATTAATGGTAAAGCTATTCTATTGCCCACCAGACCCCCCGCAGCCACCAGCAGATGTAGACCACCCCTGGAGCCCAGCAGAGGTAGACCACCCCTGGAGCCCAGCAAGCGCCGACCACGCCTGGAGCCCAGCAGACGCAGATCACCCCTGCAGCCCAGCAGTCGCAGGCCACCCCTGCAGCCCAGCAGAGGAGGGATAAGATACCTCCCATCGTTTTGAGAGAAAAAGGAAAGTAGAATGAGATTACAAAGAGGCTGATGGAAAAGAGGATAAATTACGGTTGTGGCGTGACTACAAAAAATGGAGTAAAAACGCACCCTCCCACCAGCGAAAACTATAGGGCAATGATAAGGGTACTTGACAACAACAAGTACCAATATCACACATACCAGCTGGAAGAAGAAAAGCAGCTCAGAGTGGTAATTAGAGGAGTGCTGGAATCGTGGACTGAGGCCAAAATTAGGGTGGAGTTAACCGAGCTAGGTTTCGACCTACCACGATTGCGAGATGGAGCAAAAATGGGCAGCCCATAGCAGTGGTCCAGGTGCTGCTGCCCAAGACTGCAAAATCAATTTCCGAGGTGAGGGCACTCGGAAATCTGCGAATGAGAGCGGAGTCGCAGCATGCGAAAAGCCAGACGACCCAGTGCCAGCTTTTTGGTGACAGACTATAGGTGCCAGCTTTTTGGACATTGGCAGTCCAAATGCACAGCTGCTGCCAAATGTGTGAAATGTGGAGCAGCGCATGAATCCCGGAAATGCCAGATTCCTCGGGAAAAGGCAGCAAGATGCGCCAACTGTGGAGGAGCCCACCCTGCCTCCTACTTCGGCTGCCCATCAAAGCCCACTCCAAAGTTGCAGGCCATGAGGCAACCCCCTGCAGCTCGTAGGACAAACCCGCCAACCACACCTCAGCCACAAGCTGCCATTGTAACCACCAGAAACTATAGTACAATAGCCAGGAAGAACCTGCCGCCCCCCCAGCAAGCCCCTCAACGCCAACCAGGCCATGAACAGCTAGCACATACCCTACAGGCGATGCAGGCCCAGATGCAAACGTTCATGGCCACGATGCAGGCTCAGATGCTTGCGCTAATGAGCAGTCATGTCTAGACTGCTGAGGCTTAAACCTCTATGTGTCGTCTCCTGGAACGCCAATTGAGTCAGAAATAAGAATTTAGAACTACAAGACTTCCTGGAGAAACAAAACGTGGATGTCTGCCTAATGCAGGAAACACTACTGACGCTTGGAGAAAGATCCACACTTCCGAAAAACAAGATACACAGAGATGATAGGCCCACCAGGGGCGGAGGGACACTAGTCGCAGTGGAGAGGTCCATCCAGCACCACGAGATTGTCAAACCGTCGATACGTTGGAGATCAGCGTCGGGTCCGTATAAGTCAGTCCAAGCGCTACGTTGAGTCTCGAGGATGTTTGAAAACTTTTCCCAGATGACAGGCCAACGATACATGGCGGGAACTTCAATGCCAAAAACACCAATTGAGGATGCAACCACAACACTCCTAGAGGCATCATCCTATCGAACGAAGCCAGAAATGCAATGTTTGAGGTAGCCATAATGGCCAACCCACGTCGCCCATAATGGCAGAGATGACATCCTGGACATATTCCTGTACAAGAACGCAGGAAGACTGTCCAGCCCCGAAGTACTCCAGGAACTATCTTCGGACCATTTGCCGATTTTCATGCAAATTGAACCAAATAACGTTAACAGCTCCACTGCGACTAGAAGGATTACCAACTGGCAGGATTTCCAGAGAACATTGGTGAGCACCAGCAGGATCCATCAGCCCACAACAAAGGAACACCTGGACCAGGCAGCCGAAAGACTCGCCAAGAATATTAAAAACGCCCTGACAGCGTCAACATGTTTAACCGTAGTTCCGATAGCCCAAAACAAGAGAGGACAGTTAATAAGCTGGTAGCCGCTCATCTGCAAAACTGGCAACCCACCAAAGCCAGAAGAGTCACCAAAGAGATCCTCCAGGACATCGTCAAAGGGGCCAAGAGAAAAAAGGCCCCTGGGCATGATGGAATCACAAACGAAGTCCTTAAAAAGCTACCGCAAACAGCTATTGAGGACCTTGCCACAGTGGCAAATGGAGTTTTGGACCTTCAATACTTCCCGACCACCTGGAAGAAGGCAATAATGTTATTGGTACCCAAAAAAGGCAAGAACAGGAAGCTGCTTACGTCCTACAGGCCCATCGGTCTATTGCCTATACTGAGCAAGGTCACGGAGAGGTGTATCTTGAACCACCTACAGGATACAAAAGAGGAGAAGCAAGTGCTGCTGGATGAGCAACATGGGTTCATGCCGGGACAAGGCTCAAACACTCTCACCGCCCGGCTAACAATAAAAATCCTGCAGCGTTTAAACCGCCGACGCGATCTAGGACCCCTCTTCCTGGATATGGCAAAGGCATTTGACAAGGCTTGGCATCAGGTCCTAATTGCCAAGATGATCAAGGCAGGGTTTCTTGAACACCAAATCAAGCTAATCCGCAGCTACTTGTCTGGACGCAGCTTCCAAGTCCAAGCCGATGATCAGATGTCAACGATCAGAACGATAATGTTAGGAGTACCTCAGGGGTCCGTGTTGGGTCCCCTGTTGTTCAAGATCTACATGGCAGACATTCCAATGACAAAAGCAACGGAGAGCTACATAAACGCAGACGATGTAGCACTTACTGCAATTGGAAAAGGTTCTGGAATGACAGCCAAAATCCAAAGACACCTCGTCAAGATCGAGAAATGGAGCATATCTTGGTCTCTCTCTATGATAAATCTATCTATGATAAACGACCAGTATGGCACGACCAGTTGGCAGCCACAATTGCCAAAGTAAGGTACTTTCTCCATGCATACTATCCAATGCTGACAGGTAAGCTCCTCCTGCGAACCAAGGTGAGAGCTTACAAGCAGCTGATTCGCCCGGTGCTGACCTATGGGTCGCCTGCCTGGTCCACGGCCAGCATCACGCAGAGACAGAAGTTGGCAGCTCAGCAAAACAAGATCCTGAGGATAGCAGCAAAGGCTCCCTACTATGTCAGAAACACCACTCTGTGGCGAGACCTAAAGACAGAAGACCTGCTCGGGTCGAAGAATGTTCGGGATGAAAAATTTTTGATCAAAAGTCAGTGAAACAAATACGATACTTCTGATTTTGGATAACTTATCAAGTATACAACATTTAACAGCATATAGGTAGAAATCAACTGTAGAAATTGAAAATTTTGTAAATGAATTCATTCAAACATAAATAAGTAAGGGAATCAGTTTACAATAATTTTTTCCTCACGAAAATGAAAATCCTCTTTCGACGAGTTTCCATCGGTTCGAAATACATTGTCCGAAATTACCTAGCTGATGAGTTTGAAATTTAGATAACAAATAAAGCGTAAATTGAGTGTTACTTAATCTACCTATCGACGGTATTACTTTTATTGAATCAATCAACAAGGACATTTATTCAATATGAATTCCGACGCTCGCTATACGAAGCCCCTTTCATATGGTTGGTACAAAACGACATTAAAATCATGGCAATTTAATTTTAAACGTAGTTTACTCTGCCGTCCTCAAGTCTGTTGACTTGAATTTTAATCCACTTATCTCATTTTCATTCCAGGAAAGCCAAATTGGCATTTTTAATTTAAAATTGGAGCAATATTACGTCGAAAAACGGAATTAAATTGGTCCAAATTAAAACCGTTCCGGAAAAGATGTGGTTTTGACGACGGTTGTAAGATGCACTGAAATCCCCTATTTAATTTACTTTTAGTTGGAAAGTTGGTAGACAATGAAAGGAATTTAAATAAGATTATATAAAAGTTGGAAGTTTTGCTATTCATTAATAACAGTAAGATTAGAAGTTCATTGTGCAGGCCCATCAACTTAGGCCGCATTAAGTTTTAATAGTAATTTAATGAAAAGTTGAAAGCAAGCTAACACATAAAATCAGAGTTAAAAGCGACGAAAGTTTATGGTGCCAATAATAACACTCAGCAGAAGGGAATGGAGAAAAATAAATTATAATAACGAACATATTGTGAACAAACAGAAGTACAGAAGGGAAGGTGAGTTTCAAGTAAAAAATCTGTATGTGCGGGAAAAGGTAAACCTGAAAAAGCATCAGCCAGAGGAAATAACAATAGACTTAAAGGCAGTTGGAAATGACAAGACAAGAAATACAATGAAAACATAAGAAGATGATCTGAAGATAAAGCAGAATTTGTTGCTTTAGACCACAGGTTCCCAAACTGTGTTCCGGGGCACCTAAACAATATTTTTTCTGTATTTGTTCTGCAAGGGGGCATTTCAGGGACCCCATGAAAAATGTGGTGACCTTTTTTTTCTAGTTGTGAAAAGAAAGTAAGTGTTCCGTTAAAATTTCGGGATTTGAAAAGTGTTCCGTTATCGTTATCGAAGAAGTGTGAGAAATACTGCATTAGACAATTAAGCAACTGGCAGTCCTAATTACCTCCAATAATTTTAGAATCTTAAACTGACTTTCGAAAATCGCAGTTAACGCTCACATATTTTCAGCTGTCTTTAACCGTTCGGCAACAATTAATAACTAATAATAAAACTAAGTTTGTAGTTTTTATAGTGTAATGGCGTCCGGGAAATTGAGGAAAAGAAATAAAAAGAGAAAGAAAAGATTAGAAGAACGGGAGAGCTTGAAAGAAAAGACAAAGAGACGTCCCTGCTCGGGCGCCATTTTTGTAATGACGTCCGGGGAATCGGAGAAAAAGAAAAATGTTACTCCCTCAACGTACCTTTCAAATTTAGGGTTTAATGCTGGTAGTCTAGCATGTTCGGACTTGAACGGGCTTTCGGAAATCTCGGCCGCCAGCTATCAGGATTTACGTGGTAATGGCCCCCCAGCGAGGGTAGCTTTTATACAGTGTTTTATACAATAAAAGTTTTATTCATTTACAGAAAATACATGGACAAAATAAGCAAATAAACAACGAGCTTAAACGGGAACATTACGGTTTAACAATAAAATAATCCAGTCTTAAGAACAGGTAAATGGTTGTTACCTATAATTTGTCGACAAGATAACGGGGCCATTTCTAGGCGTTTTGGAATTTATTGCAATACATATGTCCGGACTGGCGATTTATATTTAACAAAATAAAATGGTATTTACGAAAGATATTAAAATTAAT